AATTTTGTGCGAAATATTTCAAATTTTTGATTTTGCGAAAGTTTTCGAAATATTTTGCGCATTTTTGCATTATTTTTACGTATCGCAAATTTTTGCGCAATATTTCGCACATATAAATTTACTGATGTATATCTGCAATCTAACTAGAAGATTATTTATTTAAGCTCTTTGGCTTTTACAAGTGAGAATATAATTAGCTATATATACAACTTTTAGTTATCTATTTAAGTAGTCTGCTCTAGTTTTTACACTAGCTGCTATACCTACAACTTGATTAGAGAATTGCTTATTTAAACTTTTTGGTCATAACTAGTTTGTTATTTTTTATCTAATCAAGATATAACTTATTATATATACTAGATTTTGTGCTATCTATAGATTTTATACTTTATCTAGAACTACTTTATCTTCAAAGTAAATTTAACAAAGCAGTATATATTCCATATATGTATTCATCTGCATATTTGATAGCTTCTTTCTAACTAGTATCTGTTATATAATTGCTACTGAGTTTATATTTTAAGCTATCTTTTAGAATACTGCTGTAATCTAGTTTGAATCTCAAATTACAATTTTCTTATATTAGTAGTTAGTTATATATTTCTTGTTTTTATATTTGGGTTTATACAATCTTAATATTTATATTTGAATTTTTTTTCTTCCTTGAATTCTTTACTAGTCTCTCTCTTATTTCTAGCTAGCAACTTGGAAAGATTGGTTTATCCAGATCTTAGATATTTATATAATTTTTTTTTTTTTAATATATACTTTCAAAACATATATTTTTTTTTTCTGGTTTGGTAATCTGACAATTTGGCTAATATGTTCTCTTATTTAAAAACCTGATTGCTTAGTTTTTCAATCTTGGTCTCTGGTTTTAAATTCGGTTTTCCTTTAGTACTATTAAAGATTGCACTACTTTCCAACTTAGCACTTGCCAAACAGGTTTTTAGTTATTTCAGTACCTTAGTTTTTATTGTGCCAAAACTTCTATTCTAGATGTTGTGACTAAGGTTATATATAGATTTTTAAATTTTACTGATCATTAAATAGCTATCAACTGTATCACAAAGCTATTTTTCAAAAATGTTATTTATAGAATTCGAACTCTAGACCTGCTGTCTAAAATGTAACAACTCCACTACTTTACTAAATTGCCACATCTTTAATAATCATTTTTTTATAAACTATACTATAATATATATTGTATTAAAAACTATATTTTTAAAACCAATATTTAAAGAGTTTACTAAAAAATTGTAAATAATATTTTTAATTAAAAATTTTTTTAAAATTGTATATTTTTAGTTTAAAAAGTTGTAATTAAGCTAACTTCTTTAAATAAAAAATTATAAAAAATTAATTTAAAGTTAACTTTCTAGCACTTTTTTGAAAATAAAAATAATATTTGTAATAATTTTTTACTTGTATAATTTTATGTTTTTAAAAAGTACTATACTTTAAAGTATATAAAATAAGTTATCCGAGCAATTATATTAGCTATTAACCGAATTTCTGCTTAATTTTACAATATGAAATCATGTAATCGACCAATCAAAATTATAAACATTGTAAATTCGACCAATTAGAATTAGCAATTTTTGAAAATTTGATTTTTTTACTAAAATACAACTTTTTGTTGCCTATGTAAAATTTGAAGCGTTCAAATCGTGCAATCTGATTTGACTTAAAACTGTAATTGCCTTTATTTTAAAGTTGAACAGATTATATTACAACGATAAGTAAAGTTAATATATATATATATATATAATACGAATACGTATAATATGAATAACTTTTTTAATACGTAATCATACGTATAATTTTATTTTTTTAAATTCAATTTATATAAAAAAAATAAATACGTATACGTATTTCATGTATTTTTTATTTGAAAGAATATTAATGACAGTACCGTCAATGTAGTCAAGTTTACATTTTCTTTGTATTTGATACAAAAGGCAAAGTATCGAGTTAAAATGTATTACATTACATACATATCAACAGAATCAGTGACACAAAAGTGCAGTTTATCCCGAAGTGATTAAAAATATCGGAGTGGTGCACTAAGATTTATTTAACGTTAGGGTTAGAACAAGGCAATTTGGAGAATGTTACTGCAGGCGACAAATAGATTCTCTCAGAAATAATAGGAAATTTTGTTTCACAATAATTCCATAGAAGTTATATCATGCAGTTTTTCATATGTATTTTCATGCGAAAATAATAAACCATCCAAGGAAACGTATTTAAAAAGTGTAAATTCGGATGTTATAATTTTTTTTACAGGGCGATCACCAAAATTCCGGAATGGATATCTTTACTTAATAAGTTTTCTATGATTTTATTGGTGAAATTTTTTTGAAATTTTTGTGTGATTATAGGACAAAATATACAAAATATGTAATATTTGATACCAGCCCATCCGATTTAGAGTCCGACCAGATTTTAGAAAAGATTAACATTATATTTATTTTTATTATATTTATATAATACAGTATATAGTATATATATAAATAAAAATTCTTAACATTAAAATTAAAAGCTTATTAAGCTTATTAAGCTTATTAAGCTTATTAACATAATTTTTTTATAACTATAAAAATAACGATAATAATTTGTTAATAGAATATTCTGAGATTTTGATTTAGATGAACTGGATTTGCGGGAACCAAAAATTCTGATGAAAGAACGATCTACTTTGGGAAACGATCACTGTGTATCGATTCTTCAAATACATAAATACATAATTAATACACTTTACGCATAATCCGCAGTGTAATCCCGGATATATGATTTTATATTTAAGGAAAAAACAAGATTACAATCGATTGATTAAGAAAAAAGGCCGAAAACAAATTAAACAGGTATTCATGCGTTTTATGACCGAATTGAAGAATTTAGATTATTTAAATAGTCACAACAGCAAGAGTAATACTGTAATAAGGCAAATTTAGCGAAAATCAAAATAATGATAATAATGATGCTCAAATAAATAGAAATGATAAAGATGGGTTTGATATTTTTTTTTTTAGCAATTTAAATAAAGAAAATAAAAGGAAATTGGGCAAAAAGAACCAGTTAAAATTTTGAACCCTGGAATTCTTTTGTGGCGTTAGACGCAAATTAGAGCAAATTAGACGCAAATTAGACTGTTAGATTACTTTGTTTAAATTAGCATTGATTGACGAAAATGGTAATGTAGCCACACTTCTGACTGACCTGTTAGATCCCTCTTTTTTATTATAACCCCAGTTGCTGGGGGGTCCGGTGTAAAATACTGCACCATCGGTTCTTAGGTAATTAAATCAATTTTAAACCGGTAAACTTGAAGTCAGATTTGCGTCATACTAATATCAAGTGTTTATTGAATTTTAAATTTCACTAGTCGTGAAAAATTTTTATCTCCCTCTTTTAACCTTATTTGTTCTCCGCATTTCACTATTTTTGCTAAAAATAATCAACCACCATCGTCTTTTGTAGAAAAAATCGCTTGGACGAAACTTCCCACTCATATATTAGGTAGTCTCCGCTTATTGTCTAGCTTTGTCAACTGGTCGTTACCTCATAATAATATAACAAAATATATATATCTGATATATATATATATATATATATATATATATATATTTATTTTTATATATAGACTCAAAGTATTTAGACAGTTCTTTACTCTTTTCTATTTTTTTTTTTTTTCTCCTTTCATATTAAACATATATATTCCATCTATTTCCTTTCCTTTTTTTTTTCTTGTATTATTAATATCGTGACTAAAAGTTCTGGCAAACGAAAAAAAAAAAAAAAAGCAACTTTGTCATTTATTATAGCCTTATTTTTTTTTTTCTTTTAACAAAATAGACCTTTTGGCAATTTGCATCTGACAAACCGCAATGACTTTAATTTATACCCAATCTCATGTTATTCGTCCATTAGACCGCGCTTGTACAGAAAACTTTAATATTCCCCCGCGGTCGTCTTCTGCTTCCCCTGAAAAAAAGTCTTCTGAAATTATCCCTCGCATGTGTTCTGCTACTCCGCCTTCTACATCTGCTTATAATGACAAGATGTATGATCTACCAAGTATAGTTGCTCCTTGTCCCAAGAAAGCTTTGTATGCATATGCTGGTCACTTGTCCAACAATAATTTCGCCCCTGTTTCTCCTCAAGCTGAGAATCCTTGGGGACTTTCCTCTGTTCAAGAAGATATGGAAGAAGATCATTTAATTCTTGATAATGCTGTTGACCTTTTTGAAGCAATGTATGCTTTTTTTTAATTCTTTATATTTGATTTTCTTTATCATCTATTTAATCTTATTTTAATTTATCAATAATAATAGGTCTGATGATGCTCTTGCTTGTGCTGAACTTTTAGAAATAATGGGTAATTCAAGTTGCGGCTCTAGTAGCCCTGTTTCTCAACCTGCTTCTCCGGACAATGTTCATAGAGTTAACTCTACATCTCCTATTATTAAAGCTGATCAAGATGATAAAAAAGACATTGCTAATGAAAATGGTCATAATTCCATTCCTTATTCTGGTGCCATTGAGATTGATCGTATGAAGCAGAAACCTGAGTCTCGTCCAATGCGATTGCCTGTTGATAACTTTCATTTGATTCTTGGTTCTTCTCCAATTACTCGCGCTCATAATCCATTACCTATGGATTCTCATTTTTCCCCAAGCAAACGTCATCACCATCATCAAGCTCAACCTTACCCTTCTCGTCCTGCTCTTCATCAAGCCGCTAATATTCAAAAAAGATTATGTGATACTGTCTCTAATGTTCAAGTCGGTGGTGGTTCTCTTGACGATTCCGTTCAACCTCCTCTTTCAAAAGCTTCTAAAGCTGCAATTTTATTGCGTATATCTGAAGGTGGTCGACGTAGGTCTTTATCTGTTGGAAGTGCCGGGTTAAAACCTGGTAAACTTATTAATCGTGTGTAAATCATTTCTGTATCTTCGGTTCATGATAGTCCTCACTCTCATATTTTGTACATATTTGTTAAAACTTTTCTTTTGCACATATTTTGTTAATTTGCGCATTTTTTTTTTTGTTTTTATATATCGTAGAGTTTTTTTTTTTTTTTTTTTTTTCAAAAAAAGAAAAAAATTTTTGTATACAAATTCGCATTATATATACTTTGGTTCTTTAGTACATATATTATTTTATTATTTTTATATACTTGCAAAACTTATATTTTTTTTTCTCGCATTTTATATTATTTTTTTTTCATCTTATAATTTATTCTTTGGGTCATTGTTCTTGAACTTGTCGCAATGATAGTTGTATAGCAGATGTGACTATGTTCAAACAATTAATTCTTAAAAAATGATGACCAAATCATTTTTACAATCTTATATCTTTTACCCTTTTATATTTGTTTATATAATTTTGAAAATTCTTGTTAGAGAGTGAGCAAAGAAAGTTTTCTGGAAATTAATAAATTTGTTTATATTTTATTAATGATAATTTCGTCTTATCTGACTGTTACGTATAACGATAACGATAACGTTAAATAAATGTACTGTACATTGCTGCGAAGTTGTGAAACTGTGAAACCGTGATAGTGACAACAAAAAATTATCATGTATTATCATGTGATTATTAAATAAAAATAATAAAAGACGATAACAATTAAGTGTAAGGTTTTTTTTTTTTTAAAAAAAAAAATGCGAACTTGTTACTATGAATTATTGGGCGTTGAAGATTATGCAACTCCAGAAGAACTAAAAAAAGCTTATCGTAAAAAAGCTTTAGAATGGCATCCTGATAAAAATAATCATCGAGTTGCGGAGGCGACACAACAATTCGCTCTTCTTCAACAAGCTTACGAAGTTTTATCAGATCCAAACGAAAGGGAATGGTATGAAGAGTAATGATGAATTCGGATCTACCTTTTTGATTTTTTTATTGTATATGTTTATTGCTCTTGCAGGTATGATAATCACCGGGATGCTATTTTAAGAGAAGGTATGTGTAAAAAAATCAACTCAATTCGATTAAATATTGTTTAAATTACAAAATTTTTATCTTTTATAGATGATGATATTGATCAGGATGATGATGATTATTATGATAGTTCCAAGACTAAGTTTAGGTATCGTAATGTGGCAGGAATTAGAGCAGAAGATCTCATGAAATACTTTAACGTTGCATGTTTTAATGGTTTTGATGATAGTGCAAAAGTATATTTTTTTAAACTTTTTTTTTTAAAAAAAAAAAAAAAAATTTTTTAAAATAAATTTATTGATATTTTATTGATTTTTTTATCAGGGATTCTATACAGTATATGGAATTATATTTGAAAAATTAGCTAGAGAAGAAGAAGAAGCTTATGCACGTGATCGAGATGAAAATTCCGATTTTTTCCCTTATCCATCATTTGGTGATAGTACTACATCACCAGATCAAGATGATTCAAAATATGGAAATTTAATTAAAATTTTTTATCAATCATGGATGAATTTTACTACACGAAAAAAATTTGCTTGGTTTGATAAACATCGATTATCTGAGGTAAAATATATATAAAAAATTTTGTAATTATATAAAAAATTTTTTTTTTATTTTAAAAAATTGGCTTAATCAAAGTAGGCACCAGATAGGCGGACTAAAAAATGGATGGAAGATGAAAATGAAAAGTCTCGTAATTCGGCTCGTAGAGAATATAATGAGGCTGTTAGAGTAAGTTTCTCAATTATATTATCTAAAATTTTAATTGCTCATTCTTATATAATATATATATATATATATATATTTATATTCAGTCATTGGTTGAGTTCGTACAAAAACGTGATCCACGGTATAAAGCGTATAAGGCGGCTGCTGATCAAAGAATTAAAATTCAAATTGCTGAAGCAAAAAAGCGAGCTGCCCGTGATCGTGCTGAATATGTTTCTAAATTACAAGAATATCAAGAACAAGAGTGGACAAAAGTTGTGGATGATTATGAAGATGAAAATGACAGTGATGATGATGATGAACCAGAAGATGAATTCTTTTGTGTTGCATGCAATAAAAGTTTTAAAAATGAGAATCAATGGATAAATCATGAAAAAAGTAAAAAGCATATAAAAAATGTTGAATTATTGAAAGAAGAAATGCTTGAAGATGAAGATTTAGTAATTTCAGATGACCAAAATAATTATGATGTAAATAATCATGATATAGATGAATCGATAAATGATGATACAAAGGACATTGAAGATAACTCATTTACAAAAAGTTCTAAAAAGAAAAAAAAACCAAAGAAAAAACAACAGACTACAAATTGGGGACATGAGGAAATTTCTGGTGATGATGAAATTATTCAAGATAAAATAAAATCTGATTCACTTAAAAGTGATGATGAATTATCTGAACTATTAAACAAGACAAAAGTTTCTTCTCGAGGTGGTTTTGAATCTGAAGAAGAATCTAGAAAGACTCAACCTTTATTAAATGTTGACGATGATAAATCAACTCAACAAGAAAATGGTACTAAAAAAGAGCGGAGAAAAGAAAAGAAAAAGACTAAAGATTCTAAACAGGTAAAATAACGTAGATAATTGATATTTTTAAATACTTTAAATACTTTAAATACTTTGTAAAATTTCCTTATGTTAATCAACTATATGTAAATTATAATCTGCAGCAAAAGTGTAATGTCTGTTCACAGACCTTTACAACAAGAAACCGTTTATTTATCCACATTAATGAAACTGGGCATGCATTAAATACTGGCGGTTCTGGTAGTGGGAAAAAGGGGAGGAAGTGATTTTGTTAATAATAGAATTGCTAATTATTTATTTTAAACCACTTAAAAAATAAAGAGCTTGTTGACAGGTTCAAAGCATCACTAATCTTTTAATCTTTATTAATGCAGCAGCTTGGCTTTTTCAATAATTCATAAACAATGCTCTCATAATAAACATCACATCAAAAATATACAACACACGAATTTCTTTATAACATCTTTATACAGATCCTTGCAAATTTTTTATTTCATCCAATTCACGTGACCCTATTAATACATGTTTTATATAATGTTGATACGTTGGTCGACCATTTATCAATGGAATTATAACGTTCAGTGTCAGATGACCTTAAAAAAAAAAACAGTTAATATATATTTACTTTTTTATAATCCCTTAATAATTAATAATAATAATGTAAAACGTACTGCCTATATAATTCTAGCCGTTGGTTCACCTGATCAATGCACCCTTTAATTTTTTGATCAAGAACGAGACCAACAAGCAAGTCTTCAACATCTTGTGCAGGAATATTGAGTTGCTAACAAGAATAATAATAAAATAAATTATCGTTATATGTAAAGGAATTATACAAAATAAACGAGAATACTTACTTTTGACACAAATGGTATCTCTATTCGCGTGTATGGCTTAATAAGGCGAAGCAGTACTTGAGTCCTAATATTCTTGAGAACATCGTCGATATATGTACGGATGAAAGGATCATCCATAATGGTCGCACGATTATCTAATTATAGAAGAATATTGATTAAATAAATTATGATATTTGTAAAAAACAAATTTGATGATTCATGCTGACCTCTTAGAATTTTTTCGAATTCCCGAATTTCTTTGCGTTGATATGCGCTAACTAGATTAGTCATTGCTACAATTTGAGGATCGTTTTTGTATCTATAATAAAAAGAATAGAGAAAAACTTTTATTATTGAAGTTAAGTAATCAAATATAACAAAAATAAATTACTTACGGCTTTGTCTCTTGAGAATCAAAAGGATTAATTTGCGATTCTGTCAACATATTTGCAAGAACTAGGTACCTAAAAATAACTATGTTTAACATATAAGAGTAAAATATAACAACATTCTGATACAAACTTACTTAAGAACTTGTATACGTTGAGGACTACCAGCTTCATCATAATTTTTAAAAGATTCAAAGAAATCGGTTTGTGCTTTGTCCCATTCCTCTGAACAAACGGTTAATATTTTAGTTACCTTTTAAAACAAGATGATATTTTAATCTTTAAATAAATAACTCACTCTCTCCCATATGCATTTTACCACCACATTCACGAATAACACCCATTATACGTGGATGTGGAATTGCAGATTTGACGTGAAGACATTGTTGATATAGAGCCTTTTAAATATTAAGAATGTTAATGTTTGAAAAAGATTTGTAAAAGTATTAGAAGTATGAGATTAACCTTCAATTTTTTGTTATTTTTCGTTTCAGTATACATTTGAATCTCAAGTGCGAAAATTTCCAGTAAGTGTGTCCCTTTACGTTGATCGTCAGTTCCATCATCTTTTTGACACGATAAATGGAGCTGACGTAAAATCTAGATGAAAAAAAAAAAAATCGAATAATTAATATAATTAATAAAGTGTTTTTTTAAGTAGTAATCAAAAAATGCTTATAATTAATTAAATACTAACCTTGTTTAACCTATTATATTCTTTTCTATCAAGCCAGAGTTTTGCCAATTTGAGATTAGTCTTAACCCATAACCTCTAAAAAAATATAATTAATATAAATGTTAATACATTTAAATAGTAATAATTTTTATATTAATAAAATATTATCTGGAAAATTTCTCAACCTGCTTCTCCGGACAATGTTCATAGAGTTAACTCTACATCTCCTATTATTAAAGCTGATCAAGATGAT